TACAATCAGATTGGGCAGTAATAATGAGACTACAGATTACCTCTGTTAATATTAACCTAAGCAACAAAGCAAATTTTTATAAATTTTTATATATTACAACTTCCTCATATATATCAACTAAAGATTGTATATATCAAGAAAATTTCTACTCAGGTATTATTAAATTATCCAGTTATCTGAGTAATCTATTATGCTATATAATAAAAAATATATACCCGAGTACAATCTCTAATATTAACTTTAATATGATATCTCGTTAATATCATTATCAATATGATTTAAAACTAATTCAAATAGGTTGATATTAATGAGAATAATCTGTTATTTGATAGAGGTGTAGTTTTTAGAATTCTATCGAGATCTATATATCAATTATTAAAGTATTAAATGATTTTTAACGATTGTGAAAATTTTAAAATAATTTGCCAATAGCAAATATTATTAATATATTTCAGACTTTGATCTTGTTTTTTTGTTTTATATGTTCAAAATACTTATAATTATAAATATCACATGAATTATATATCATATAATCATATACACACATAAATAGTATTTTAAAAATTGATCTACATTATTTGTTATGATAATTATATAACACATATAATACAAAAGTCATTCTAAAAATTATTGTGTAAAGTAATACAAAAGTTAAAATACTAAATTTAATATTAATATAACAAGAACAGTTTTATTTTTGGATACACAATATTACTACAATATTATATATTAACCTTGTACATATGTATGTAATTAATTATTTATTTGTCTACTCGCATTGCTTCCAAATATCCTAGTTAACTATTAATACTCTATCTGCAATCAACTTTTCTTGAACTTGCACTTGCTGAGGATAGGTTTTTAACAGATCTTCTGATACTGCTTCTTCATCTACCTGCATAGTTTCACTACTTTCATTATTTTGAATATCCAAAACAGGTTCTTTAGATAAGTTAGATTTTTTATATTTTTTAATATAGATTTTCAAAGCTTTTTTTAAAACATAGTACCGATTACAATAAGAACAGAGATAATTATTAATTGATTTATTTATAGTTGGGCAATACCAATCGAAGAGAAAATACTATAGATTTGTGTCTAGAGGAGTTAACTTTCCTTCCATTAATATAGAAAGAAGAAAGCAGCCAAAGTAAGTTGTATTATCAGATATACCCATGCTTGCTATGTAAATACTTTGAAGTTTCTGTTAAATTAGAAGTGGTGGTAGGAAAAAGTAATTCAGAAGGATCTGTTTAATTCCACTGCGAAAAGGTTTGCAGCAGCTTGGATCATCACACTTTATGACTTGAATTATATAACAACAAGTCATTTTATCTAAGCTGCTAATCTTTTAGTTAGACAATAGAATTTGTCAGAAAGATCTATATACTTAACAAGAACCTGATGACCATTGATAATTGTATCCTCCCACACTGATGCCAAAACATCTCTGGCTACTTTGAAATTGCGTTTTTCTAATTCCTCATCACTTGTTCTTAACTATACATCCAAATATAATCCAAAGATATCATGTGGGAGGATTATACTAGCTAAGTCATAGCTTAAAGGCGCTATTCGTCTTTCTACTAGATTGGATGCACTCTGATATGGTGCAAAGCATGCCATGATGATGGTATCAAGATCATACTTAGTAAAGTGATCTATCATCATCTGAACTGTTTTTTTATAACATGGATTTTTGTCAAATCCACTATTAGATATTATTACCACCACAGATTTAGACTGACTATCCATTGTAATTTCTTCTCAACTATCAGGTCATTGAAGTTTTTGCCATAAGAGTAAGTGGTACCATATATTCCCAAAAATAAGCTACTCTAAAAATAAGCTACCTTTCTTTTTTGGAAGAAAAACATAAAAATCTCTTTTGCCTGAAAATAAGCTACTTCACGATCATTAGTAGTTACTCTATAGTAAAGTCGAAATTTTACTAAATAACTTGACATAGCTTACTAAGTAAAAGTTATTCAGAAGATCAAAATACATATATTCTAAAAGTTTTATCCAAATTGAATAACATTTTATTAATACATTTTTACATATTATGTTCGACAAATTTTTTAAAATTTCTTTAAAATTTCTTTAAAATTCATATTCGTCGAATGTAAAAATCAAAAGTCAATAAAAAGTTATTTGATTTACATGAAAATTTCAGAATATGTATATTTTGATCTCCCAAATAACTTTTATTTAATACAGTCTGGGATGTTTCCAAATTTGATATATAAAGATCGCTTCTTTTTTAGCAATAGATCTGCAAGAAGATAATTCTAAATACTTCGACAAGGCTGAATTTGTACCAATCAGCGTTTGTATATTTTATTGTGAGACAACTATATTTTTAAGCCCCATGGATCTCTATGGATCTCTAAACTGCATGCTTCACCAAAGTTTTCTATACTAATTATTTTGAAATTTTTTGTTATATGAAATTTTTATAAACGTAAAAAAAATACTATTAAATACTATTGTTTACATAGAAAATCAATTCTAGAAAATTCTTTTACTATGTTGATGATCAATTTTCAAATTTGGAAAAATACCAGACTGTAATAAGCCATGTCGATTTACTTAATAAAATTTTTCGTAATCAACAAAATTCACTTTTACCTAAAAATAAGATACTTTTAATATTTTTGTGTAATTTTTTTTCCAAAAATGGTAGCTTATTTTCAGGAATATACGGTACTGCTATTATGTTTACTGCTACAAATTTTTATAAATGTTGGACCTGAATATGTTACTGCTTCAGCTTGCCCATATTTACCTTTCTGTACATCTAATACTGTATAAACTAAAGAGATCAGTTTATATCTTTCAGCAATAATCCAATTATGATCTGGCAGTTCTACTTGGTATTCCAGCTTTATAAGAATTGGTGCTATATGAATTAATTATTATTAGTAAGCTTTATCTTTTTATTTATTATATTTTAAATATAGTGTGCGACACTTAAAGACTACACAAACTTTAAAAGCCAATAACTTTTGATCTAAAAAAGATATTTTAAAAAGGAAGCCAC